GGTAAAGGGTAAATTTAAATAAAAACATTTATTTCTAACCGTTTCAGTTTATAATCTAGTTGCGGTATGCGAACTGATTCCGATTAGAATGTTGGGAATTGTCGATAGGGTGTGAAAGCTTGCAATTTGTGTAACAAAAGACTTTTGGCAATAGACTAGTTGGCTTATTGACACAATTCTAGGTTAAGACGATTCGATTATGTATGGACATTGGCGAGCTATGCTAATTATAACAGAACTTTCTTGCTTTCGCGTTGTTGACTCAAGCGATCAAAATCATTGAAGAATCGATCAGCCTCTCTCAAGTGTTTGAGCTGTTGGAGCTGTTGGAGTCGGCACAGTTAAATGGATATGCCTGAATGTGGCCTCCTCTGACGGCTTAGTGTATAAGTATTGATATATCCCATAGATAAACATGAGCGCACAAGACAAAAACTTCCGCGACAGCGCTCCAAGCCGCACTTAACCTTCCCAGGTACCAAGCACCAGGTACCCAAGTTGACAACAGCAACAACAAGGAATGAATTAGCATTATTGTTGTTGTAGTTGTAGTTGTTATTATTTGTGTGATTGCGATTGCTATTGTCGTCGGCCGCTGCAGCACTGGCTTGAATGATTGATTTTATATATGTAGCTGCCTGGCATAAAGTCACTCAATAAAATTACGAAAAAATGCGCTGTCGCAGAGAACAAAGGCCAACGGCAGATGCATCCACCACAGAGCCACCTTACTGACCAAGTGGCCATCGTCAGTTCAAGTGCCTGACGGCGACACATCATTGAAAAAACAACAGAAGCAGAAGAAGAAGAGAGAAGAGAAACGAAACGAGATGAGATGAGCACAACAACAACAAAAATGATTTCATCATGCAACAGCGACGGAAGTACCTAAATAATGGGATGCTCCACTAAGTACTTGATCACCTTAGGGCTTGGGTCTAAATAAAATAAATAAATATGTCTATATGTATTTATTTTTAAACAATTGTTGACTAAGTCGGCCTCATTTTCTATAGCTCAATTAAAGCTTTTGTGTAACTAACTGTCGAAGGTTTCTCAATTAAATGGAGAAGCAGCAACGAAATCCTTGATGATGATTAAACCTATATGAGTTATTATGAGTTGGCCCCCTTTGACAACTGTTTATGGTGTACGAAAATATAATATGTTTATCATATGGTTATCTCTATATATACTATAGACCTGCAGTTTGTTGTCTTATTATAGCAAACCCACATAGTTGCTAAACCTCCCTCTGAGTATCTATTTTTGTGACTACGCCTGTCAACGCGTCGTTTGCTCCCTGCTGCGGCTGCTGTTGCTGTTGATGTTGCTGTTGCTGCTGTCGTCGTCATCATCAACATCGCTGTAGTTGTAGTTGTAGTTGTTACAACAATGCGCCTTCAATTAAAGCGAGCAACCTTGAACTCTTTTCAAGCGGTTTATGCGCGTTCAATCAACGGCAACGGCGGCTGCTCATATCGGCCATATCGCGAGTCAGCAGCTCGAGCCGATCCTTGGCCATGTTGGCGACGCGTCGCAGCAACAATAACAAACAGCAAACAGAAAACAGCAAACAGCAACAGCAACCAGACCGGTGAGCTCTGCCCAGATAAAAGCGAAGCTGTAGCTATAGCTGTAGTTGTAGCTGAAGCTGTCAATCTGCGTTGGTCTGCCTCTGCCTCTGCCTCTGCCTCTGCCTCTGCCTCTGCCTCTGCCTTGCCTTTGCCTTGGCAATCATCGAGCGCGGCCTCTGCTCCGACCACGGACGGCTCCGGCTTTGGCTCATTCCTTGGCGTCAACGCCGTTAGCTGTCGTTTAGTTTATTGTTGCAAATTGCTCAGTGAATTATGTGCCGAACTGCTTACTGGGAACGACCACACACACACACATACACACACACACACATGTTATGAGACAAGGCTTGACAGGAAATTTGATATTGTGGGTTTATAAGAAACCAATTTTACGCTGGGTTCCGTCTTACCTAAGAATGAACGAATGAACGAACGAACGGTTCATTTGCTAGCTCAGCGCTAAATTTCGATTTCAATATAATTTTCTCAACTTCTGCCGAAGACTGAAGGCACACAGGCTGAAAGCTGGGATTAGTCTCAAATGAGTTTGAAATTCATATTTATCAGCTCAATATGCCACACTAATTAGAGCTCGAGTTAATTTAAAGTAGACTCAGCCTGCTGAGAATTGGCTATACTTTGATTTATATCCTAAAAGTGTCTTTTCGAGTTTGTTGCCTAAGTCTTTTGTTATCGCTCAGGCTGTTCACGTTGCTTTATGGAAATTAGTTTTGGTTTCTTTACTTCTTTTTTTTTTGCCTCAGCAGCCCACGTAGAGTTTCAGTTTTTCAATTTTAATTCTTTTTTATTTTTTATTTTCATGTTACATTTTTGCCCTTAATCAAGTAAAAACCCTTTTGCCTGTGCCTCGCTCACTTCACTCAGCGCAACTCAACTCTACTCGAGTTGGCACGGCCTGGCTTGGCCTGGCTTAGCTTGGCTTGGCTCAAATCACAGCCACAACCCACACACATGCCACAGTCCGGAGAGCTGGATCGGGAAGGGACGGGACCGATAATGTCAGCTCAGCTCAGCTCAGATCAGCACTCAGGCTGCTCCGTTTGCTTGTTAAGCCCTGTGCCAACTTTGATTTTAAGCTCTGTGTCTCCAGACGTTTGTAGCTCTTGTTGTTGTTATATATTTTTTTTTGTCATGCTCGTTGCTGTTGTTGTTGTTGTTGGTACCCTCAAATGCACTTTCAATTGCAGACAGTTTGACGTATATATGCAGCCAGCAAAAGTACTATATCTTTCATTTATCTATCTATATATGTACCTACCTATATTTTGTCGGTATATCTGTCTGTCTCTCTGTCTGTCTCTCTGTCTGTCTGCTGTGTCTCTCTGTTTTGCTTTCTTTATGCAGCGATAGCCTAGGCCCAGACGCAGAGTGAGGCTGCCCACAGGCACTTGGCGCGAGACGAAGCGTTTCAGCTGTGGGCTGTACGGCTCCAGCTCTAGCTCCAGCTCCAGCTATACCTCTGTCAGTGCCATGTATTGGTTATACTTGCTTTCATGCGTGGCAAGAGCTTCACACACACGCACACATACTTAAAGAGTCGTCGCCGTCAAGTAGCTACCATGTAAAACGCTTCCTACTTGAGCCCAGAGGCGCATTGTTATAATTCGGTAAATTATTGCAACATTTATACCCTAACCAGGAGAATTGTTATGTAAGCGGCTTGTAAGTCCGAGAATCGTGAACAATTACAGGTTGTATGCCTTTAGGGCAGCCTTAAGAACGCAGGCAGTTCAAATAAATTCTTAAATATTACAATAATAGCATTTAATTACAATGAAACGAAAAGCGACTTGCATAAGGCAATAAATAAATTGAGTTTACGGTCTCAGCTCCGCTTTACGTAAGGGCATTTCAGCTTCGTCGAGGCTCGATTGCTGATTGTTTGATGTAATCGTAGACTTTATGTTTTTTCATTAATTAAATTACGTAAAGTGTAAAATGTGTTACATGTTTCGGACACGCACATCCATCGCCTGGCTCAGGCCCCCTACCCTCCTGCCTCTCTCTCTCTCTCTCCTTCCCTCTGTCTCTAATCTAATAGCACCCTGGTCAGCTGTTGTTGCTTACATTAGAAAGCGAACGTACAAAGGCCTTTGTTGTGTGTTTGTTTAGAAAAGCTTAACAAAAACATTGCCAAATATTTATTTTGTTCGAGTTTGATTTATAGTATAGTTCAGACAGTAGAGCAAAAGCTGGTCACATTTTCACTTGCTCTTTGACGCTGCGCCATTTGATGGGGGTTGCGACCAGCTTCTATCAATTGACAATGACATTTAACACCTTTTAATGACCAGATGTGAAATCTGGGTAGTAAAAATATACCTATATAAATATACATCTATGCTCTGGCTTGATAGCTTCATTTGCACAATAATAATAATAACGACCCGAGCAGTTAACAAAAAATGATTAAGAAAGCAGCAGCAACCGCAACTAAATCAAAAGACTTAGGCAACGAACCTGCGCGACGTTCTCACCGAAACGAAAATGAAAGCAGCCAGCCAGACTCGGGCAGACTCAACAGAGTCTGGCAGCCAGGCAGCCACTGCCAGTGCCAGTGCCAATGCCAATGCCAATGCTAGTGCCAGTGCCAGGGCCGGTGCCGGTGCCAGAGCATAGACAAATGAAGAGAGAGATAGTCAAGCAGATTGTCAGACGGAGAGACTGTCAGATGGACGGATGGATAGCTGCTGCTGCTGTTGTTGCCGCTGCATGTTGTATGCTCTTTTTACACTCGGCTTACACGACGGCTCTTGAGAAAATTAATATGCCAAACAATTACAAGGCATGGTAAAACAATTTTAAGCCCAGTTAATGTCGCTGCACAGTGGTACGAAATATGTGAAATCAAATGGCCAATCAAATAGTCAAACTCTGATTGTTATGGTCTAACATAGTTAGGGGAGAAAGTAGAAGATATCTTCAAAAATTCTTGCGAATAATTAAATCCATAAGCTCTTCCTTGCCACTGTAATAAAATTCGACTTTAATTGTTTTTCTAACGCTAAATTGTTGTGCCACTGTGCTGTGTGTGTGTGTGTCGGCTACCGTTTGGAGATCAACTATGAAAGTTAAGACTTTTGCTTTTCTTTGGCTTTTGTTTTTAGAAAGAGCGAGCGTACAGATAAACAGCAGTTCAAGAGTTCGCCCCAAGGCGTACCCCGCCCACTTTTGCTCGACATGTGTGCTGGGGCTGCCTCTGAGGCAAGAAAAGAAAGTTATTACAAAATCCACCGAAACTGACAGCTGACAAGGGCCAGAGTCACAGCCAGAGTCGGAATGGGGATCCGGGACAGCCGGTAGCTGGGGTTGCGATTCGATGCGGACAATTGTGACACTATTGAGTGGAATATTGAATGGAAAGCAGCTGAGCTGCGCTGGAGGAGGGGGAGGGAAACTTACCACCGCCGTTGTTGGCACTGGAGCAGTGCTTGGAGCTGAGGCCCTGGCCGGTATTCGTTGCGGAATTGGGCAGGCCGCAGCCGCTCATCACGCCGTACTTGATGGGCTTGAAGTGGAAGAAGGATGGCGAGTAGCCGGAGCCGGCGCGACTCAGCGAACTGAACTGCTCCTCGCGGTCCTCGACGTAGAGCCCCTCCTTGCCCATGGCCGCCAGCTGCCTGCCCTTGGGCATGAACATGACCAGGAAAACGGTGGCCGACGTGGCCACCAATCCAAAGGCGATGCAGGCGTCCTTATGCCGCTCGGCCACCGCCAGGCCGCACAGCATCCAGCCCAGCCAGATGGGAATGGCGCCTCCAATGGCCAGCCCGATGTATGTCGCCTCGCGATAGTTGTCGCGGATGCCCCGCGACTTGATCGCGAGCACCGCGATGAACACAATGAGGAACACGATGTAGATCAGCGAGAAGAGCAGCTCCGAGAACTGCGTCTTGCACAGCGGGATTAGCACGGTGCTCACCGCCGCGATCCGCGTGTAGATCTCCGGCGTGCCGTCCAGCGTAGTGTAGGACGTCGGATAGAAGAGCGCCGAGTAGTTGGTCTGCGAGGCGACTGTCGTGGACAGGAATCCGCTGCCCATGACCGGCACGCTGGTGGTGTAGATCTCGGGCGGCTGTGTCAGCAGCCACTGGGCGCCGATGGCCACCTGGATGAGCAGGGCGAAGAGCAGCAGCAGGCCCTGGTAAGGGGCGGGCAGGTAGACGCCGCCGTTCAGGCTGATCAGGAACACGCACTTGACCAGCAGGGCGGCGAAGACCAGGGCGTAGGCCACGCCCACGCCGAAGCGTATGGCCCCGCAGCTGAGCAGCGTGGGCTGCGCGGTAATCACGGCGCCCAGCCCGGCGCAGGCGAACAAGCCCAGCAGCAGCATCTGACCCAGAAACAGATGGCGGCGCGAGGGCGACGTGCGCCAGGCCTTGAACAGCACAAAGATCTCGAAGGCGCCCATCATGAGCATCGTGAGGCTGGCCAGCACCAGCACCGGCACCACCCACACCTCCTTGCGCAGGCCCGCGAACGGCAGCTGGGTGGTGGACACAATGCTGGGCGGCGTGGCGCTGCCGCCGCTCGTCGTGGCACGCGGCGTGTTGGCGGCGCGTGCGCGGGCGCCCTGGCTGCGCGTGGGCGTGGCTGGCGTGGTGGTGGCACCGCTGCTGTTGTTCCTCCTGCTGCCGCTGCTGCTGCTGGTGGTGCTCGGTGTCAGTGTGGGCACCACAAAGAACTCCGTGGACATTTCCAGGCGCGCCGCACTCGAGATATTCACCTCGGGCACATTCAGATCCTCGCGGCGCAGCAACTGCTTGGCGCTGCGGCGTGGTGCAGGAGTGGTGCTAGTGGTGGTGGAGGTGCTCGTGGTACTTGTGGTGGAGGTGGAGGTGCTGGGAATGCTGCTGCTATTCGCCTTCAACAGCTGATAGGCATTTCGTTCGCGTTCGCGCTCTTGGGCGGAGCTGGCGCTGACGCTGGTCACCAGGCGGACGCGTCGCCAGATGTTGTTGTTGTTGCCATTCGAGTTTGGATTGCGCGCCGCCGGCGTCGCCGCGATTAGCTGGAGGATGAGCAGCAGCAAGAGCAGCAGCCTGCTGGCCTCGATCCGGCTCCTGGCCATTGCAGTTTGCAGTTACGTGACAACTCAAATGCTGCACATGCTCGCGCGCGCACACGCACAGACACACACACACACACACACAAATTTGCACGCACACACGTAAGTAGTTACAATCAACGCAGAGGCACACACTCGCGATTTGGCTGTCGTTTTACGTGTTATTCTTCGTCTTTCTTCGTGTTATTCTTCGACTTCGACTTCTGCTTCGACTTCGTCTTCGTCTTCGTCTTCAAGCGCGCTCACACGTCCGCTCGCCAGGCCCAACCAACATTGACTGGCGTCTTCGAGCGCTCCGCAACTTCGGCTTTGGTCTCTGGCTCAGGTTCGGACCTCGCAGACGTTTGAGCTTGAGTTTGAAGTCAACCAAGTCGTAGACTCGCTTGCAACTCATACAAATGCTTTGGACTCTGCTCTGCTCTGCTTTGTCTGTCTGCTGGCGAATTGGAGCTTGTTATAGAGAACACTTTCATTCGTTCTGCATATGTGAATAGTTTGGCTTGGCGCTGTGGCTTTGACTGTGACTGTGACTGTGAGTTTGAGTGTGAGTGTGATTGTGAGTGTGGCTGAGGCTGTGCCTGGAAAGTGCTATTAGCCGCAGTCAGCCACATTTACCTCGCTTACCAATCGCCAAAATGGGCCCAACAAAAGGCAAGCAGCCAGACAAAGGCGGTTGTAAATCAAAAGCCAGCTAATGATATATCGATATAGTCCGCTCAGCGGAGGCCCCTGTGACGCGTCGCGGCTATATATACTGATCGGGTTTTATTGTTCCCAAACACCGTTAGTGCTAAGTCGTTCGTTTACACTTGCGATTCCATTATAATTTGCTCAATATTTGAACACACAAATTTCTCAATTGCTTTTTCGACTATCAACGGAAAGGGAGGTAGAGGGTAGTATAAAAAAAATTAAATTAGGACTAGAATCTTTTTTTATAAAGGCTTCAATATTATTTTTCTTCCTTAATCCAATATAAACTATAGCCAGCGATCTTTTATCAAATAAAAATTAAAATATAGTCATATATTTTTTAAATTAATTTAAAAAGTTTGAAAGTAATTAAAACAGTAAAATTTATAATCAAACTCTTTAAAAGAAAATTAAACTAAATGTATATATATTTTCCTTTAAGAATTTGCAGTCTATAATTCTTATTGGAATATTTGGAATATACTTTTTTCATTTTGAAAATTTACATTTCCTCTTAATTAAATTATCTTTTAAATTCGTTAAATTAAAGTATAATAATTTATTTTACACATTTACATCATGTATTTTCTTTTTAAATGAAATGGAAACATTTGTTTTATATTTTTAAATATCTCGATTATTCCCAAGAAATATTTTCATTTTTTTACGAAGAGCTTCAATAACTATTAGGTTTTTTATGGATTTCTTTCGAAATTTCTTTTTCAAGTGTATGCACGGCTTCAGTGGGCTTTACTGTCGTCCAGTGGTCATTGGTCATCCGAAAACCGTATCCATTTCCATCCATATTTGGCACAGCGCACAACGAGCCATTAGCCGCAGCAAATGTTATGTAGATCGTGTCGAGTCGGCGCTCTCTGTTGGCCGCTGTTGGGCAGGTTGGTAGGAGCAGAGAGTCGCGGGGGTGGGAGACTGAAACGGTATCGTTAGTAGAGATCTGTCTGAAACTGCGGCCGGCCGTCTGACAGTCCCTGCCCTGCTCAGTTCGACTCAGTTCTCCATTATTGACGCAAAGACAGGTAAATAACCTTTCGGCATTCCCCAAAACACTTCTGTCCCGTCACATAAATGAAGGTGTACTACAAGCTGTGCCGGCCACTCGCCCTCGGTCTCTCATTACACAGTGTACTGCATGCATTATATATGACGAATTGGCAGAAGTAGGTGTCAGCTGACTGTCAGTCGTTCTTATTCATACTCAAATTCTTGCTGCCATCGCATTTATCTTGATATCGATTCTTGAGAGCTCTGCCACACTCGCACAGTAGCGTTTCGAGCTGGGTTATCGTGGGAGATGTATAGGGAGAAAGGTAGGTATTAGATAAGTAGCAATAATGGAACTTGAAACCCAGGTACAATTGAGATAAAAATATGACATTGAATCATTTTTTAATAGGAAAATTTTACTATTAATATTTATTGAAGTATTTTAATCTAATAATAGACCCAAAGACTATGTAGATGTTCAAATATTTAGAATATAATATTTGTAGATTCTGTTCAAAGTTAACCCCATATCAAATCTCTCCGTCTTCAGGCAAAAAAAAAAAAAAAATCAATATTTTGTTGACGTGCGTTATAACTATAATTAATGGCAACAAACAAAGCAACTCAATATATTAATCAATCTATAAACAAATTAAACATTTATAACAGCGGCAGGCCATGGGCGATTTCATAACTCGAAAATTCTAGAGTTCGATAATCGTATATGCCTCGCTGTAAATATTAAGTTTAGCCAACGGCCATTGAAATGTGAGATGAAGATAATTAATTTTTTGGCTGCGCACGAGCCAAAACTTGTGAAGCCGTTGTCAGAGTTGTGCCAATCCTGTCCGAGAGCACTCGATCGTTATTAATGCAATCTCTCTTGAGATTGTCAATGGGCTGGACGGAAATTCGATCGAGGCAGCCAAGCGACTAAAGCGCAGTCTTAAGCAATACTTACAGAGATTTAACTGAATAGTACGAGGAATTTGTGTAATGTGGCCAAGAGGGAGCCAAAGCCGAGGATTATGCTAATGCTAAAGAGTTGAAGTACTTCTCATTTGCGGGGCGAGATTTTAATTAGAGAGCCCGAGGATACAGTTATTAAAGCAACTTAAGCTCGTATTAGACCCGCCTTGACTTTGACATGACGCACTGAGATTGCAATTAAGGAATTCCTCAACTGGAAGCCAATCCTAATCGCTGAGAAATTAGAAAATCGTATTAGAGAAGTAAACTTGAAATTATTATTACTATCAGCGCTGGCTGATCGCCTTGGCTCTATGACAAATCTCCGGCACTTATTTACTTTTGAGCAGTTCTAAGAACTCTTCTGGGCCCAGAGGCTGGCTAAGCTGCTCGGCTTGGCTGATCTGAGCGGCATATCTTTTGAACGCCTTAATTTATTGGCAACAAGACGAGCCGGCGCCAGGGTCAAAAGTCAGACGTGGACGCCGTTTGAATGGTAAATTGTGAATTCTGAGTTGTGAGTTGTGGATTGTGAATGCTGGCCGGATACCTATATTTGGATCGTAAAACATTCTGATATTAATTTCGGCAATGAAATCGCAACGTGCAGCAGAAGATGCTGTGCATAAATCATTCAAAATGAATTTTCAAATTTTAATTTAAACCAGTTGCACAAGTGCATTGAACTTGTACGAAAACTGAATACAACAGCAACAGTATCAACACCAACAACAACAACAATATTACAGGAAGATATTGCCCGACTACTCGTAAAGACAAAAGCCTTTGGCAAACTTATTTATTTATCAATATATTGTGCGTACCCGCACCGCCTCTGGTTTGCCTTTGAGCTGATTGTCGACGTCATTGGGACCGAAACTGAATTCTGATTTATAAGCATGCATCGCGAGCACTCTCCAGCAGCAGCAGCAGCCGCAGCCGCAGCAGCCCCCTCACCCCCTATGCGACCGCCTTCATGCCGCTGCCCTTACTCAACGGGGCTGCGCTTTAATCACGTGCGTGCAATGCGCACATGATGCGACTGCTCCCCAATCCAATACCCCATGCATGCCTCAAGCTCAGCTCAGTGCCGATGCTCATGTCGATGTTGCTCTGGTGTTGCAAATGCTGCCAGGGCAAACACCCAGCCACTCAGCCAGCGAGCCAGCCAGCGAGCTAGCGAGCGAGCCCCTCTTACTATGCTGGCCGAAACTTTAAGTTAAGTAAAACATTTCATATGAAGGCTTAAAATTTGTTTATTAGCTGTGAGCTGATTAATGATTGCTGATGAGAAAATAGCAATACTTTGTGGTATGTATGAGCTGCGCATAGAAAGCCAAGGATTTAACATTTATTATTTTCTGGCAATGCATCGCATTCATACAGGCACTCATAAATTATCATATTTTTATATCATACAATTTTTAATATATGTATATTAACAGTATTTATTTATTTCTTGATCATATATTTTACATTATTAAATTTTAAATATATATTATCAGCATTTATTTCTTTTTTATAAACATTTAAATTTTATTATTAATAAAATCATTAATATTATTAATAGTTATCATTATTATTATTAATTTGAAAAAGGCACATATTTATTTATTGTAAATTAAATTAAATTAATTATAAATTAAATTTTAACATATTCAGATTACAATTGATAATGTGCCAATAAAAAAGCTCTTCTATATGAGTTTAATTATATGACTATATACATTTATTATGGTATTTCTTAAACTCTATCTATGCATATGTCGCGCATAGTGGCCCATGATAGCCATTATGCAGCAGCTCTGGCTGTGCCGTTGTGTGTGTGTGCGCGCATGCGTGAAGAGTCCGTTTTAATCGTTGCTTGGCCATCGAATATTTCTTCGCCACGACGTCGTCGACTTGGCTCGTAAATCCGGCGTATAAAAGGCACGTTGTGCGCTCCATTGGCCAAGCGGCCATTGTTATAGTCTTTGGCTAGCTCAGCCAAGCTGGGCTGGGTTGGGCTGGGTTGGGTTGAGCTCGTTGGGACTGTGACTCCGACTGCGACTGCGACTGCGACGCTGACCGAGGCCAGGCCATCGTCTGCTTACCAAAGGCTGATTTAGTATGATCCGCTTGAGTTTTATGTGCAGAAAGATAACATTTTTAAGATATTGACACCTTGTTAGGCGTTTGAGAGAGTCGACTCGCGCCGCAACTAGCAACTGGCAACTGGCAACTGGCAAACGTTTTGTGCTAGGGTTAGACATGGCTAGCAGGAACGTTCTGTTGCCAAAAGGCAAAACCCTATTCGCAGCGGGCACGCCCCCTCGAGCTGTTGCATTTGCGTGGCTAATTGTTGTTAAAATTAAATGCGGCACCATCGTCAAATGCATAAACATTGCTAGATAATCAAAGCGGCGACGTGCCAGATGCAAAGGGAACGAACAACCCACCAAAAGAGACTGAAGTGCTTTTCCTGTTCCTGTTCCAAGCCACCTCCTTCTCTCTCTCTCTCTATATCTGTCTACCTCGTGCTCTTTGTTTCACTTCCATGTGGGTGTCACAGTCGAAGCGCAAGGCGGCTCAGCTAAATTTATGGCATAGGAATAATACATATCTTTATGGCTTCATTAGCGA